TCACCCAAAAACACACCAAAATCACCCAAAAATACCCCAAAATCACCCAAAAATACCCCAAAATCACCCAAAAACACCCCAAAATCACCCAAAAATACCCCAAAATCACCCAAAAACACACCAAAAACACACCAAAATCACCCCAGGGTCACCCAAAATCACCCCAAAATCACTCAAAATCCCCCCAAAACACCCCAAAAATCCCCTTGAAACGACCCAAAATTCGCCCGAAAAATCCCCAAAATTTGCCCAAAATCCCCAAAATTTGCCCAAAATCCCCAAAATTTGCCCAAAATCCCCAAATTTTGCCCTAAAACCCCAAAATTCGCCCGAAAAATCCCCAAAATTTGCCCAAAATCCCCAAAATTTGCCCAAAATCCCCAAATTTTGCCCTAAAACCCCAAAATTTTCCCAAAATCCCCAAATTTTGCCCAAAACCCCCAAATTTGCCTAAAATCCCCAAATTTTGCCCTAAAAACCCCAAAATTTGCCCAAAATCCCCAAAGTTTGCCCAAAACCCCCAAATTTGCCTAAAATCCCCAAATTTTGCCCTAAAACCCCAAAATTTGCCCAAAATCCCCAAAGTTTGCCCAAAACCCCCAAATTTGCCTAAAATCCCCAAATTTTGCCCTAAAACCCCAAAATTTGCCCAAAATCCCCAAAGTTTGCCCAAAACCCCCAAATTTGCCTAAAATCCCCAAATTTTGCCCTAAAACCCCAAAATTTGCCCAAAATCCCCAAAGTTTGCCCAAAACCCCCAAATTTGCCTAAAATCCCCAAATTTTGCCCTAAAACCCCAAAATTTGCCCAAAATCCCCAAATTTGCCCAAAAATCCCCAAAAATGCTCTAAAAACCCCCAAATTTTTGCCCAAAATCCCCAAATTTTGCCGAAAACCCCCAAATTTTGCCCCAAATCCCCCACTGCCGCCCCTCCCCCGCAGGACCCCCCGGGCTGGGATTTGGGGGGGGGTCCCGGGGGGCTCCCCCAGCCCCAAATTCGGGGGCTCCGTTTGGACCTGGGGGGGTTCGGAACCGAGAGGCTGCTCAGGTGAGGCGGGGGAGGGGCAAAACGGGCTGGAAAACCCCGAAAATGGCCCAAAATCGGCCCCGAAATCAGAAAAATTAACCCAAAAATCGGCCAAAATTCAGCCCCAAAATCGGCAAAATTCAGCCCAAAATCGGCCCCGAAATCAGAAAAAATTAACCCAAAAATTGGCCAAAATCAGCCCCAAAATCACCAAAATTCAGCCCAAAAATTGGCAAAATTCAGCCCAAAATTCAGTTCCAAAATCAGAAAAAATTCAGTTCCAAAATCAGAAAAAATTAACCCAAAAATTGGCAAAATTCAGCCCCAAAATCGGCCAAAATCAGCCCAAAAATCAGCTCCAAAATCAGAAAAAATTAACCCAAAAATCGGCAAAATTCAGCCCAAAATCGGCCCCGAAATCAGAAAAAGTTAACCCAAAAATCGGCCAAAATCGGCCCCAAAATTGGCAAAAATCGGCCAAAATTCAGCCCCAAAATCAGAAAAAATTAACCCAAAAATCGGCCAAAATTCAGCCCAAAATCGGCAAAAATTCAGCCCAAAATTCAGCCCCAAAATCAGAAAAAATTCAGCCCCAAAATATGAAAAAGTTAACCCAAAAATTGGCCAAAATCAGCCCCAAAATCGGCCAAAATCAGCCCAAAATTCAGCCCCAAATTCAGAAAAAATTAACCCAAATATCAGCAAAATTCAGCCCCAAAATCGGCCAAAATCAGCCCAAAATTCAGCCCCAAAATCAGAAAAATTAACCCAAAAATCAGCAAAATTCAGCCCCAAAATCGGCCAAAATCAGCCCAAAAATCAGTTCCAAAATCAGCCCAAAATTCAGCCCCAAAATCAGAAAAAGTTAACCCAAAAATCGGCCAAAATCGGCCCCAAAATTGGCAAA